CCACCTTTTTATTATTCAATTAATTTGATAATTTTTAGATTAATTTCACATTTTACATAAGGTCCCCACCATGAGGTATAGTATATAAATTGGGTTGTCAGAAAAGTCACAACGATTTTTTGCCTAGAAAAACATTTTTAATTCATAGAAATATATTTCGCATAGAAAAAATATGTCATGACTTTTCTGATAACCCTATATATAAATATGTTTTTTATTTCTAAATTTTTATTTCTTTTATACATTTAATCACATATTTCATTTAGCTTACAAAGTGAATATTCCAAAATGTATACATTTCTCACCAGTCCATACTATACACGTTATCTTCAACAGATAATAACCCATTTCTTTATCCCATAAATACCTTGCTTCTCTATTTTTTTAATGTCTTTCCTCAGACTTTCCTCCTTCACCCACCCTCTTCCCACACTGTATCTGGTATTTATAACCATTTTCTGTGTTTCTATACCCTCTAATCATTGATTCAGCCAGAGTACAGACACTTGATATATGAAGTGGAGGCAAACAATGTTTCTCCTTCATAGCCTGGCTTGCTTCACCTAGCAGTAAATCTTCCATATTCATCCACTTTCTGCCGCCAAAAGCCAGGGTCTTTTTTTTTTTTTTTTTTTTTTATGGCTCAGTAGTATTTCATAGAGTATATGTGCCACGTTTTTTCAATTCAGTCTTCTGTTCATGGGCATTTGGGTTTGTTCCATGTCTTAGCAATTGTGAATAATGCTGCAATAAACATCGATGTACAAACACTTTTCTAACCAAGGATTCTTTTGTCCTTTGGGTAGATACCAAGGAGTGGTATTGTTGGATCATATGGTAGCTTTATTTGTAGATCTTTGAGGAATCCCATATTGTTCTCCAGTGGCTGGACCAATTTACATTTCCACCAGCAGTGTAAGAGAGTTCCCCTTTCACCACACCCCCACCAGAACTTTTTTTCTTTTCTGGAGAGGTTTTTGCTATAGGGCGTGTGTGCTCGCCAGAAAGACAGAGAGAGACAGAGAGACAGAAAACGAGAAATCACACCCCAGGAGAGATGGCCACGCCACAATCCCTTCTCCATTTTCCTCTCAGGATCTTGGGTATACACGCACATGCACCCGGAGTGAGTATAAGCCACCGGATCCGGGACTCAAACCGCAGTCTACTACATGGGAGTCCAGCAACATAGCCATTACGCCAACTGCTCATCCCTATTTTTTTGTGTGTGTTTTTTTAATCTTAGTCATTCTGACTGGGGTTAGGTGTTATCTCATTGTGGTTTTGATCTGCATCTCCCTTACAATGAGGAATGTTGAGCATTTTTTGTATGCCTTTTGGCTATTTGTATATCTTCCTCAGAGAATGAGGGTTTTTTTCAACTCATTCTCCCATCTTTTAATAGTATTGATCATCTTTTTTTCTGGAAAGTTGCTTGAGTTCCCTGTGTATTCTGGTTATCAGTCTCTTATCTGATGCTTAATTCAGAAAAATATTTTCCCATTGTGAGGGCTATCGAGTCACATCTTAATCTGATGTAATCCCACTTGTCTGTTTTTGGGATTATTGATTATGCTTTGGGAGGTCTTATTTAAAAAGTCTTTGCCTACCCCAATGTCTCCTAAACTTCCCTAGTATTTTCAAGCAGTAGTTTTATAGTTTGAGGTATTAGGTTTAGATCTTTGATCCACTTTGAGTTGATTTATTTTTCAATAGTAGGGGTTCAGATTCATCTTTCTGCAGGTGGAAATCCAGTTTTTCCAGCACCATTTGCTAGTTTTTCCTTTTCCCACTGGATTGACTGATATCCCTCGTCAAAATCAGTTGACTGGGGACCAGCAGTTAGCATAATGGCTATGTCACTGGACTCCCATGTAGTCGACCACGGTTCGAGTCTAGGACCCAGTGGCTTAAACTCATGCCAGGCGCTTGTGCATGCATGCTCAAGATCCTGAGAGGAGAATGGAGAAGAAGGGATTGTGGCATGGCCATACCCCCAGGGGGTGATTTCTCACTTTCTGTCTCTCTGTTTCTCTCTGTCTTCCTGGCGAGTGTATGTGCCCTATAGCAAAATCCTCTCCAAAAGAAGAAGAAGAAGAAAAAAAAAAAAAAAACAGTTGATTTTATGTTGGCACGTCAAATATGTAGATTAATTGGGGTAGAATTGCCATTTTGATTATATTAATTCTTCCAATCCAGAAACATGGGGTGTCCTTCCACATTTTTGTGACATTTTCACTTTCTTTTTTTTTATTTATTTATTTTTTTTAGCTTTTCATCCATACATACTTTCTAGACTCCTGCCAATATTAACTGGTGATATCTTATAATTATTTTGGTGTATATTTCTTCTAAGAGCATTTATTCATTTTCATATTTTAATTTGACCAGAGAAAGACACAGAGAGAGAGAAGTAGAGGGAGAAGAAAAGTGAGAAAGCAAGCCACCAGGTCTGGGACTCGAACTGTGGTTGGCCATGTGAGAGTGTCCAGCACCTTAAACACCATGCCACCTGCTGGTCCCATAACACCTTTCTTATCACATCGAAGCTGGGTAATGAGTTAATGAAAACGAGAGTGAATATGTTTGGTAAACAATCTGTCAGTCTGCATAGTAGTGCAGAAGTAGCACAATACTCTGCAGTGCTGGGAGTATAGAAGATAGGGGTTTGGTTCCTGGGGCAACCTAAACATACTGAGAGGATGTATACCAGTGACCTCAACTGGCTGGGGAGGCTAGGGGAAGGATTGTGGTGTAATACCTGTTAAAGGTGCTTCTCTCTGTCTCTGTCTCTCTCTTTCAGCTATCCTTTCTCTCTCATGAAATAAAGAAAAAATTCTAAAACTATCTGTATAGAAACTCAGGGTAAATGAGGTTTCCACCTCTAGATCACTACAGTAATAGCTGAAAACATATTTAAATACTATTTCTCTCTGATGTATGCATTAGGTAGTTTCTCAATATAATGTAATTATTATGAGTACTTTTCAAAGCATTCCATTATTTTGCCTTCAGCAAGATTCTCCTAAATAAAGACAACACAATTTTTGGTAAATTGTCTTTTCAGACTCTTCCAAAACTATGAAATTCTGAGGTGCTTAAGGAATCAAATACTCTGGGGAGCCTGACTAGGCATAAGAAATACAGAATCATGGTATGATCCTCTGTTGATTGTGACTGTTGGAGTTGCAGGTATGCATCCTGATCCTAGATGAGAAGGGTAGACAATTTCCACATTTGTGATCAAGTTTTATTCTATATGAAGGAGGTAGAAGGATCTGCCAGTACATGACTTGAGGGAACTTTTATCTGATGTCTCATATACAATGTACTCATCTGTGACAACATCTGAATCTTTCAGCAGTATCTTGTCCCCTCCATCCCCAGTAGGGCACAAGCACTATCTAAGCACAGAGAGAAAGAGAGAAAGAAGAGAGAAAAAGTGAAAAATCATCCTTCATGAAGGACGGCCACATTGCAATATTTTTTCTTCTACTCTCCTCTTGGGATTGTGGGCAAGTACACAAATGCCCAGAGTGATTTTTAAGCCACCGGGTCTGGGACTCAAATTGCAGAGATGACCATGTGGGATCCAGTTCTTAACCTCCACAACACCTACTGGTCCCCTATTGGTTTTGAGATATGTTGGTTGTCATAAACAAAAAGAAAAATGCCTGGAGGCCACTAGCATTGCTAACCTAATGTAAAAGATGAAAGGAAGCAACTTAGTGATAAATATCAATTTCAGGTCTCAGAGAAAAAAAATATTGCTTACTAATATTGCTTACCTACTATTACTTAGTACCTTATTAAGTCATGATTTGTTCATCGCTATAATGATTGTTATTCACCTTTATACATGGCACTTGAGGGAACCAGCAGTTAGCGTAATGGCTATGTCACTGGACTCCCGTGTAGTTGACCGTGGTTCGCATCCCGGACCCAGTGGCTTAAAACTCACGCCGGGCGCGTGTGCATGCGTGCCCAAGATCCTAAGAGGAGAATGGAGGAGAAGGGATTGCAATGTGACCATCCCCCCTGGGGGGTGATTTCTCGCTTTCTGTCTATATGTCTTTCTCTGTCTGTCTGGCGAGCGCATGCGCCCTATAGCGAAAACCTCTCCAAAATAAATAAATAAATAAATAAACAAACAAACAAACAAACATGCACTTGATAGATGTAGTAAGAAATAATAAAATATTGCATGTTAAATAGTAAGCATACTGCTTGACTCAAAACAAATTGTTCAAACTTGTTAACTGTTAATTTTATAAATGATCAAATTCTAGGATTATCATTAGAATCAGAATATTTGAATCCGAAGACATTATGTCCAGGAGTACTTAATTTTTTTTTCAGAGCAAACTCTCTTGAGTTCTCATGGATCCATATTTTCAAAGATTTTTCGCCCCCCCAAAATTATTTATTTTATTTTATTTATTTATTTTTTTGGAGAGGTTTTCGCTATAGAGCGCATGCACTCACCAGATAGACAGAGACAAAGAGACAGAAAGCGAGAAATCACTCCCTGGGGGGGATGGTCACACTGCAATCCCTTCTCCTCCATTCTCCTCTCGGGATCTTGGGCACGCACACATACGCGCCCAGAGTGAGTTTTAAGCGACCAGGTCCAGGACACGAACCGTGGTCGACTACGTGGGAGTCCAGCGACATAGCCATTACGTTAACTGCTGGTTCCCCCAAAATTATTTTTTATATCAAATGACTTATTTAAAATAAGTAGTCCCCATAAGCTCATAATAAATGAGGTCTGAAGTGTAAGAAAATAAGAATTAAAACTCTATCTGTTCTTTGGTTGAACTGTCACTCCAAGAAGAAAAATAACTAAAGAATAAATGAGCACTTAGACTTTTGGAGCCTAGACTTCTAGGATTACCATGGATATAATGTTATTTAATTAGCATGTCATCTATTAATTCAGCAAATGATTCAAACTTAATTCTAATGTTCTCCTTTCTTAGGTGAGATATCTTATCACCATGGAATGGAGCAATCACACAGTGACGGACTTTATCCTGCTGGGCTTCACAGCAGACCCTGTGATGCAGCTGGTCCTATTTGTGGTGTTCCTTGGTGTATACTCCATGACCTTAATAGGAAATATCATCCTCCTGTTGTTAATCTATAATGATTCACGGCTCCACACACCCATGTATTTCTTCATTGGAAATCTGTCTTTTCTGGATCTCTGGCTGTCCTCGGTCTACACCCCGAAGATCCTCATGACTTGCATTTCTGAAGACAAAAGCATCTCCTTTGCTGGCTGCCTGGCTCAGTTCTTCTTCTCTGCTGGCCTGGACTATAGTGAGTGTTACCTGCTGGCTGCCATGGCTTATGACCGCTACGTGGCCATTTCAAAGCCACTGCTTTATGCTCAAGCCATGTCTATAAAATTATGTGCAATGTTGGTAGCAGCCTCATATCTTGGTGGCTTTATTAACTCTTCAGTCATCACCAAAAAAACATTTTCCTTCAACTTTTGTGGTGACAACGTTATTGATGACTTTTTCTGTGATTTGCTTCCCCTGGTGAAGCTGGCCTGTGGCAGGAAAGATGGCTATCAGGAACTGATGTACTTCCTGCTGGCCTCCAATGTCATTACCCCCACTGTGCTCATACTGGCCTCCTACATCTTTATCATCGCCATCATCTTGAGGATCCGCTCCACCCAGGGACGCCTCAAAGCCTTTTCTACATGCACCTCCCACTTGATCTCTGTTACCCTGTATTATGGCTCTATTCTCTATATCTACTCTCGCCCTGGATCTAACCATTCTTTGGATACAGACAAAATAGTTTCCACATTTTACACAGTGATGTTCCCCATGTTGAATCCCATGATCTACAGTCTGAGGAATAAGGATGTGAAAGAGGCTCTGAATAAGCTCTTTAAATAAATCATTATAATTTCCCTCTAAGGAGAATCATATACAATATTGAATCGGGTTATTTGTGTTTGAAGGGTAGCTGCATTTGTGCTCAGTCATGATGGTGGATTCATAAAAAGATGAAAGAGTTTCTATTCTTGACACATGATAGTTCAAGAGATCTAATATTTTTTAAACGGTGGTGGGGGATGTAGCAAATAAAATAGACTTGAAAACAAAAACAATTTAAAGAGCAATCTCATTCAGGCCAGCAGATGGCGTAGTGGTTATGTCATTTGACTCCCACATGGCCAACCATAGTTCAAGTCCCAGACATGGTGGGTTGAAAATCACTCCAGCCATGTGTGCATGCATGAAGATCCTTACAGGAGAACTGAGGAAAAGAGATTGCATTGTGGCCGTATGCCCTTGGGATGAGTTCATGTGAAAATTGAGAAGATATCTCATTTTGTTAAGAGGGATTTTTGCTATAGGGCATGTGCTGGCTAGAGAGAGAGAGACAAAAAGTGAGAAATCACACCTTGGGGGGATGGACACGTGATAATCCCTTATCTTCCATTCTCCTCTTGGAATTTTGGGCATGTACACATAAGCACTCAGTGTGAGTTTAACATCGCCAGCTTGGGGACTTGAACCATGGTATACTACATGGGAATCCAGTGACATATCCATTACACCATCTGCTGGTCCTCATTTCATATTATTATATTGGAAGAATACATTTTATTAAAATATCCACATTACCAAGAGTAATCTATGGATTCATTGTAATCTCTATTAAAATGCCAATTACATTCTTCACAGAAATAGAAAAAGAAGCACAAAATTTGTATGTAACCACAAAATACTTCAAATAACCAAAATTCTGAGCAAAGAGAATGAAGCCTGAGGCCTCCTATTAATGGGTTTAAAATACACTATAAAATAATAGGAAACAAAACAGCATGGTAGGAGCAGAAAATGAGAAACATAGACCAATGGAACAAAATCGGAAACCTAGAAATAAATTCACATATAGACAGCCAACTGATTTTCAACAACAGAAAAATTATGTATTCTTAATAAATAGTTCTGGGGAAGCTGAACATCCATACAAAGAGCGAAACTAGCTCTATATTTCTCACATATAAAAAAAAGCATGAAATTGAATAAGACTAAAACATTAGGTCCAATTCTATGAGTGACTACAAGAAAATTGGAAAATACCTTATATTGATCTAGGCATAATTTTTTTTTTTTTTTTTGCCTAGGGTCAGTCTTTTTTTGTAAATTTTTATTATAATAATAATCTTTTTTTATATTATATTGAATCATATATATCTCTACAGTGTATTACATTTCTTTTTCCAGCATGAATACCATGCATATTAGTCAAGACAAAGACATTACTATCTACATCATCACCAAATAGTTTTTCATCATTTTTTTCATGTTATTAGTAGTTTTTATTCTCATTATTTTTAAAAAATTCAGTCACTTTATATCATTTGGCTTGTATAAAGAATTTACCTAACATAAAATACTTCTCAGATCAGTTTAGTTGAGAATACTACACATGTTATCGTCAACAGGTAATAAACCATTTCTCTGTCCCACTAGTGTCATGTCTCTCTATTTGTTCTCTTGCTATCCTTCTCTATAGTCTTCTCTTGTCCCCCCTCCCTGCCCATTCCACACTGTCTTCAGCATCCATAACTATTTTTACTGCTTTTATGCCCTCCAATATTTCAAACTCTACAATAAAGTGCAGATAGTAGATATATTAAGTAGATTCATACAATATCTTTCTTTCATATCCTGGCTTGCTTCACTCAGTAATAGATCCTCCATATCCGACCACTTTCTATCAACTGCCAGGGTCTTTCTATTTCTTTATGGTTGAGTAGTATTCCACAGAGTATATGTGCCACACTTTTTCCATCCATTCATCTGTTTGTGGACATTTGGATTGGTTCCATGTCTTAGCCATCATGAATAATGCTGCAATTAGCACTGATGTGCAAGCACTTTTCCAATTGAGCATTCCCCTCCTCTCTCTGGTAGATACTCAAAAGTGGGATTGCTAAATCAAATGGTAGTTCTATTTATAGATCTTTGAGGAATCTCCATATTGTTTTCCACAGTGGCTGAACCAGTTTAAATTTCTTTCAAAAGTGTAGGAGAGTTTCTCTTTCACCACATCCCCACCAGCACTTATCATTTTTTGTTGTTGTTGTTGTTTTTATTCTCCTCTATTCTGACAGGGGTTAGGTGGTATCTCATTGTGGTTTTAATATGCATCTCCCTTATGATGAGGAATGTTGAGCATTCCTTCATATGCTTTTTGACTGTTCATATATCTTCCATAGAGAGATTTTGTCCATCTTTTAATTTGGTTAATCATTTTTTTCTTGACTAACCTGACTGAGTTCTCTGTGTATTCTGGATATCAGTCCCTTGTCTGAGGCATATTTCACAAAAATATTCTGCCATTCTGAGGGTTGTAGATTCACACTTGTTACTGTGTCCTTAGGTGTGCAGAAACTTCTTGATCTTGATATAGTCCCGCTTGTCTAATTTAGGGATTATTGCCTGTGCTTTGAGAGTCTTATTTTAGAAGTCTTTGCCTACCCCACTGTCTCCCAGAGTTTCCCCAGTATTTTCCACCAGTAGTTTTATAGTTCGAGGTCTTAGGTTCAGATCTTTGATCCATTTTGAGTTTTGTTTTGTTTTTGTTTTTTAATAGTGAAAGATGGGGATTCAGTTTAATCTTCTGCAGATGGATACCCAGTTTTTCCAGCACCATTTACTAAAGAGGTTTGCCTTTTCCCAATGCACTGACTGGTATCCTTAGTCAAAAATAAGTTGGCTGTAAGCTTTGGAGTTTATTTCTGGGGTCTTTATTCTATTCCAATGGTCCACCAGTCTGTTTTGTGCCAATACCATGATGTTTTGATTATCACAGCTTTATAGTATATCTTGGGGTCAGGGAGTTATATGCCACCCACTCAACTCTTCTTGGGAAAGATTGCTTTGGTCTTTTCTAGATCTGTAAAGAATGTCTCTGGTATTTTGATTGGAAATCCGTTAAATATGTAGATTAATTTGGGTAGAATTGCCATTTTGATTTTGTTAATTCTTCCAATCCAGGAACATGGAATGTTTATCCACTTTCTTTTATGTCCTTTTCAATATCTTCTTTAAGATTTTCATAGTTTTTTTTTTTAAAGGTCTTTGACTTCCTTAGTTAGGTTTATCCCTAGGCATACATTTTGTGCCTATAGTAAAAGGGATTCCTTTCAGATCTACTTCTTTCAACTTGTTTGTATATAGAAATGCTATAGAGTTTTGGATGTTGATTTTGTATCCTGCCATTTTAGTGTATTCATTTATTACTTCAAGAACTATTTTCATGGAAACCTTTGGGTCTTCTAAGTATACTATCATGCCATCTATAAATGACATGTCATTTTAAACTGTTCTTTGCCTATTCAAATATCATTTACAGTGTACTCTTTTCTGATTGCATTGGCTAAGACTTCCAGCACCGTGTTAAAAAGCAGTGGAGAGAGTGGCAACCTTGCCTAGTACAAATTTTTAGTGGAAAATCTTTTAGCTTTTTTTCCACTCAGTATAATGTTAGCTAAAGGTTTTTCACATATGGCTTTATTGTGTTGAAAAATAACCCTTCTATGCCAATCTTACTGAGTGTCTTAAGCATGAAAGGATGTTGTATTTTATCAAATGCTATCTGTACATGAATTGAAATGATCATGTGGTTTATATCTTTCTTTCTCCTAATGTAGTGTATTATATTTATAGTATTGTTTATGTTGAACCACCCTTGCATCCCTGGGATAAAGCCTACTTGGATGTGATGAATAATCTTTGTTATATGTTGTTGGATATGATTTGCAAGTATCTTGTTGAGAATTTTTGCATCTATATTCATAAGAGATATTAGTCTGTAGTTTTCCTTCTGTGTCATATCCTTATCTGTTTTGGGAATGAGGATGATGGAGGCTTCATAAAAATGAATTTGGGAGGTTTCTTTCCTTTTAGATCTTTAGAAATATTTGAGTAGAATAGGGGTTAACTCTTAAAAGTTTTTTAGAGTTTAGTAGTGAAGCCATCCAGAACTGGGCTTTGGGCTTTTCTTTGCCAGGAAGTTATTTATTACTGATTCAATCTCATGGCTTATTATGCACCTATTTAAGTTTTCTATGTTTCCCTATTAAATCTTGGTAGATTATATGCATGCAAGAATTTATCCATTTCCTTCATGCTCCCTTTCTTTGGGCATATAGCCAATCATAGTATCTTCTAATGATGCTTTGTTTTTCTAGAGTGTCTGTTGTAATGTTGCCTGTTTCATCACATATTTGATTTGTCTCATTTCTTTCTTTCCTCTTCTTTATCAGTCTAGCTAGTGATGTGTCAATCTTGGTAATCTCTTCAAATAACCACCTTTTGGGACCAGCAGTTAGTGTAATGGCTATGTCGCTGGACTCCCATGTAGTCGACTGCAGTTTGAGTCCCAAACCTGGTGGCTTAAACTCGCGCCGGGCGCATGTGTGTGCGTGCCCAAGATCCCGAGAGGAGAATGGAGAAGGGATTGCCGTGTGGCCATCCCCCCTGGGGGGTGACTTCTCGCTTTCTGTCTCTCTGTCTCTCTCTGTCTGGTGAGCGCATGCACCCTATAGCAAAAACCTTTCCAAAAAAAGAGAAAAAAGAAAAAGAACCACCTTTTGCTTTCATTTATTTTCTGTATAGTTCGTTTATTTTTTATTTCATTTATTTCTGCTTGAATCATTATGATTTCTTTTCACCTGGTGTTTTTGGGGGTATTTTTCATTGTTTTTTCAATTATGCCTCAGGGCATAATATAAGGTTTGCCATCTCTTTTCTTATGTGCACTAATTGCTATTAATTTCCCTCTTATGAGTGATTTTTTGTCATGTCCCATAGATTATGAAAACTTGTGTGCTTATTATCATTTTATTCAGAATTTTTTTTTAATTTCAGACTTA